TTAGACCTATCCTAATGTATTATGACCCCTGTGTGTCCTTCAAACCAAAGACAGGAGACTCAGTGAGTACTGGTACTACATATAACCGTGTTCATAGCAGTAGATGCACAGGATTTTATGTGTTAATAAATATCTAGAACCACTGCCTGTATGCCGAAGCAAGTTCAACATACCCATGGTATCTTTTTTGTTATCTGGCTTCACTAAGTCTAACAACCATAATCAAGCTGAGCTGTCACGCAGCAGTGGTTATCAACCTCGGTGAGGTTTTCTCAAGTGTGTTCGCACAAAGGCGGTGGTGTTTGCAGCATATCAATAAACGCAAACATGAAGTCACCTGGTATTAGAGAAGCATAAAAGATAGAAGAAGAAAACTGTAATATAACACTAATGCGAAGAAGCTAAGCACAGGAGCTGTTTTCAGATATGAATCTGGAATATTTGAGTTTTGCCTCGCACAAATGAAGAACGCAGTAGCAGATAGTGGAGACATTTTATTTTTTATTAAAATACCCAAACTTCAGTGCATGCCTGAGAGCAGCCATAGCCATGAATCACCCAATCATTGTGCACTATGATGAAATGAATGCTTCAGGCTTTTGACATACAACAACATAACACATTTATTGGACTTAAAACTTTAAATCTTAAAGTTTTTCAAAGGTTTCAGATATTTATACCATCTGGCTTTACGTCTTTGAAACAAGGATCTGGCATGCAGATGTCTCGGAACTATGGGATGATGTGACGTTAAGTTGCTGGGGAACAGAAAGCTTAGTTTAGGACTTTTTATATTACACCAGGCCCTACAGCATGGTGGTGGAATTCAAAGCATTTTGCCAGGGCTGTGGAAAGAGAAAGGTGGGGGGGCACTGAGAAAGTTTATGTAAGCATGTGAGCTAGAGGCCTGAGAGGGCTGAGGAATGTGGGGAAGGGGTGAGTGGAATTAACAAAGGTAGTTCAAAGCAAGCCCTCAACTTTGCGGCTTAAGAATAAGGGAGTTGGGAGAATCACAACTTTGTAGGTCAATGGTTGGATGTCAAATGCACCTTGAAAATGACAGTCTTAATTTTTGTACTGGCAGCAAATTCTATATTTAGCATTCTACTTTGTTTCCCTGGGCATGTTGTGACACGCATCGAGCATTTTCAAGCAGCTTCTCAAAAGCAAATTTCACCCTCTTCAGACTGTGGCTTCACCGTAGCTGCATGTTTTCACAGAGAGAAACTCTCATTGTGTGTCTGTGCAGGACGTTGACTTAAGTACACTCGTATGTAAAATACTTGCTGCACTCGATGGCTTCGAGATCCATTGGCTGTGTGAAGATTCCACCTCACTGCCACTGTGCTCAAGTAACTTTGAAGAACAAAGCCAGAGGGAAAAGAAAAGAGCAGAGGAAAAAAAGCGGAAAGCAAATCTGGCTGAGGCTGTTGCACCTTCTGTTTTTTTTTTCTTGTGCCCCGAGGGCAGGTTTTGCTTCTGCCTTACTGGGTAGGCTAGGTATATAGGATGGGTGTGGCAAGTAAATTCTTAAGATTTATCTTTCATGTGCTTTGTTAGTAGCTGTTCACCCAAAGGCCAGGACAGATATGTCTTCATGTTATGCTCTTTAAGGTCAAATCTGTGTGTTTTCGTCTCCTCTTAGATAAATATGAACAAGAAAACTCTAAAGTGTGTGAGTTGGCATTGACATTTAGTTTGAAAAGGCAAAATTTGTTGTTTCAGTGTTTTAATATGAAGCCATCTTCTCAATGTTAGTAAATACAAAGAACTGTGAGCAAAAAAGCAGGACCCTGGTGAAAGTTCCATCGTTCTGCTATGCTCAGGTCTGCACTCACGCGTCTCCTCGGAAAAAAGCACAAAAGTACTTTGTCTTAATAGCTCTTGCAAATACGAGTATCTCAGTTTTACTGGAGCTCCTCCCCTTAAACTAACCTCTCTAACCATGTTCACCTTCTCATTCATCTAAACCAATCTCTATTTAACTTCCCCTTCCCCACTAATTTCCTCTCTGTGGGTGCCTGCAACATTAATTCCCTTATCTTTTAGTGTTTCTACTCAGGATGCCTCACACAATCATTTGCATTCCTTATCTAGGTCTTAACATTTGCAATTTCCTGCACGTTTTCCTCCAGCAGCGATCTTTATTATCCTCTGCAAGTTGTTGGCATCAGTGTGTTCATAAATTAGTCGTCACCGTGTTATTTAATTTCTAAATTATTTCGATCAAATTATCCTGTTAGGTCTGTTAATCTAATTTAAGACATCTCCAAATCTTTGGTTGTGTTTCTCTCCCCGCATTGTCAGTTTTATGACATTAGTTTGTAGAGTCGTCTAATTTGCATCCTTGATATATAAACTCATACTGTTTTTGCCTTTGGGCTCCCGGCTTTAGGAATCACTTGTGGGAACTACCTCTCCTCCCTTGCCCGACTACCCTTCTTATTATGAGCTTCAAGCAACATTGAGAGCGCCGTAATGATGACTAATGACAAGAGAGAATCCCAGGCCGAAAACGCAGGCATGCTAAAGTAAAGCCGGACAAGAGAAATAAATCAGCCGTAGCCCCACAGTCCCCACTGTGTTAAATTTGAGATTTTTGTGACAAGTCATTTGGTGTGTTATCTCTTGTCCTCAGAAATCTTTCATTACCGAAGGCAAGAGGTTTGGTTGCTCTCACTTACACTCGATCACGGTTCACGTTACAGTGTGTGAACAAAGGCAGCTGCAAAGAAGCGGTTCAAACCTATTTATGCTCTGTATATGATTTTAAGGAGGCTCCTTATCTGGACTAGCAGTGGGTAGAAGTGTGTAATAGAGTCAGTCATTGCTGAAAATGGACAACACCCATACCTGGTAATGATGCGGGTGTGCTCGTACCATTATTAACAGTTGTTTTGCAGTCAAATGCAGCTGTAAATTTCATTGCTGTTATCTAAGTTTTTCAGATTTCACAGGAAGACAGTTATGAATGTTTTTTTAAGGCCTTCAGACATGTCAAAGTCCAGGTTTCTGATAATTCTAACAATGGCCCTATTATATTTGTCCCATTCTTCATTTTATTACTTGCACTTGTGCTGTTCTTGTTGCGACTTGTCTTCTCCGAGAAAGGCTGACCTAAAGGTTGTCCGTGTTTCCATTGTCTGGAAGATATCGGCGTGTTTATGTTTCCCTCCGCAGTCTCCAACTTTGTGCTTGTTGAAATAATGGGACCTCACACATGCAAGTTATCCAAATACTAAACTGTTGCTGCATTATCAGCAGCTCCCTCCTTATTTTTTGGCAATACTCAACCCTGAAAACCTTTTCAAACAAAAGGAATGAATATTGATGTGTGTGTTTATATTGGAGAGAATAACCAATCAAGGGAACTGTTATGTTATGGCTTTCACATCCCTCTGAGTAAATTGATTTCCGCACTTAATGTGTTTGTTTGAGCGTCAGAAACAAGTCGTATGGAAAGATGTGTGTGAGCCGTCAGAAGTTTAACAACGTAAGACAAGAAAAATGGACAAAGTTGATGATGAGAATCGATGGCGACTAATGTGAATGTTCTCATTCATTAGTTGTGTTAGAAGAGCCTTTTCGCTGTCATCTCAAAACTGTCAGAGGAAAAACAAGTTTGTTTTTAGCCGCTTGGCTCTCTATCAGTTTTATGTTGTCATATTTTTCTTGCAAAGTAGAAAAACAGAAAGAAGGGAGTCTATGGTTTCAGACTTGAAACAATAATTCAAGACATGTTGGCCCCTTTAGATCTATCAGCCAGGTTATGGACATAACAGAATAAAGTATCTGGTCAAATGTTAATGATTTGAGCTGAACTAACAGTCTGGTTTTAGTCATTTGTGTGGCTGTAAACACGTTAAGCAACACAAAGGCTTACGCACACATCCTGTGAAATACACCCACCTTCTCCATCCAAATGTACCTACTGAGTGAGTGCTTGAAAGTGGGGTCAGGTGGAGATGAAACTCTAAAGCAAATTCACTCCTGTGAACCTTACTGTTCGTTTTTCCTGAGAAAGATCAGTGACTGCATTCAAACTGCTCGTCAGTTTCAGCCCCGTTAATATTAAGTCTTAAGTTGTGTTGACAGATGTTACAATTACTGTAAAACTTAAGTCAAGCATGTCATTGATCAAGGAATTAAAATGTCAAATAGAACTGCATTGCTGTTAAAACTAAGCACATTGCATTTCTGTGTCATAATGATACAAAACAGACACCTGAGCTATAAGTTTCAGTTAAGTAGAAGACAAGAGATCAGTCTGTTTCAAATGATGTGATACCTCCATGTGTCCTTTACATTTGTGTGGTTCCTTAGCAGCACATTCACGAGAGCAGAATCGAGAGTTTCTGACAGCAAACATGGCGACCGTGGAGGAGGATGTGATCATGTACTTAAGAAAAAGGCCCCTGTGCCTGGAGAAAGTAACATCAATCCTCCCCCCGTGACTTCCGGTGGTTTCGGTCTGTTTTTGTCATAGCTTTCAAATACACATGAAATGTATGCAGAGTGCGGACAGAAGGCTCCGTCCGTTTCCGCACACATATTTAACGTTGAGCATAAAATGTCCTCGATATTTCCATATGTGACCTTTTAGTTTCCAATCAAGTTGCAGAATCTACCCGTCCTCCACTCTTCTATTTAGCCATTGTCAACCTTTAGGGCTCTCATGTTTCTGAAAGTGCTTTGTTTTCTCAGCTGAACGCTACAGACCCCAAATGGCAGTAAAAAAAACCTTCCTGCCAGTGAATGTAAACAGGAGAGCACAGACTGGCTGTTGTCAATATACTACTCTGACACGTTTCAGTCGAGGTGCCTTCAATCAAACCCCACGTGTGCCTGTTTGGGGACATCTGGTTTTCAAGCTTGTATTTTCTCCTGATTTCAGAGATCAGTGGTTGTACAACTAGAAATGTGAAACTCAGGGGATGGGTTGCACATAAAAAATGTTCCCCGAAAGGATGCAGACTTAAGAGTTTGTTTATGTCTTTCAGGTGTTATCCGGACACAAGAACTGCTCGATCATGAAACGACATCTCACTACTGGCTCACGGTCTACGCCATGGATCGTGGCGTGGTGCCCCTCTCGTCCTTCGTGGAGGTGTACATCCAAGTGCAGGATGTCAACGACAATGCACCGCAAACATCGGAACCCGTCTACTACCCCTCTGTTATGGAGAACTCCCCGAAGGACGTGTCAATCATCAAGATAGACGCGGCCGATCCAGATGACAAGGCCAGTGATAAACTCACCTACAGGATCACGAGTGGCAACCCCCAGGGTTTCTTTACCATCAACACCAAGACAGGTAAGATTGCTGTAACTGTTACTGCTCAGTTCATGTCCCTGTAAATTGCATCTTATAGAGCAGAAAGGCCTTGATCTGAGTCAAAGACTTATATTCAATTTCAGATGTTAAACGTTAACCTTGAATATGGCTGCTAGCCTGAGAAAAAAGCTTGAAACTACAACAAAGAAATCACCTCACGTGGCTTAGATTGGAAAAGTGGCCTCTTTCAAGTGCACGGTTTATCTCTCCATAAGTGAAAATTGTCTTATATCGCCCTTGTCACATCTCTCATTCATTAAAGTAGGGATCACTCACACTGATTGATGAATCTAAATGATAAACACGTTTAGCCTGAAAATCCACCCTAATCTAAAGACACCACCAACTTTTAAGGTTATAAATGTGGGAAAAAGATTGTCCTACAAATTAAATTATCCTCTGTGACCCAGGGCGAGGTTTTGAGATATACTGTAGTGTATGGCTGACAAAGTGGAGTGCTTCTCTGAGGTTCCTGTTTCCTTTCTTGTGAAGAGGAAGAGCAGTGTGAACATCATATTTTAACCCAGGACAGGAGTGGGTTGAGCCTACAGGGTTTTTTCCACTCTAACACTCTAAAGTGTGTTCTCATATGCGTACTCTGGAGATGGTGTGATGATTAATATTTCATTGGGCTCTTTTAAAGTTGCTGGAACAGGCTATGTTTAGGTGAATAGCAGGAAGAAAAAAACTTGTAATAGGTGCAAAATGAAGCTCCATGTACAGATAGAGCTGTTTTGTAAATGTACAGATTTAATCTTGCTCTGTCACATTTGAGCTGTTAAACTTACTTCACTTAAAACCTAATATGAAAATATAAAATAAATCAAAGTTATGAGTTAGTGGGAATTTAAGTTGCTTTAATGTTTACTAACATCAAATACAGGAGTAATATGAGCTCTTAAAACTTTGCATCTACCTCTTGAATTTGTTTTTCTTTCCTACCTAGCTTATACACCGGCCTCTTATTGCTTTAAATGCAAGTGCTCATTAAACTGAAATGAGGAATGGGTAGTGAAGCAGTTGCTCCAATTTGTCCTCCCTGACGTGTGTGGTCCTGTTTCCCGAGGTAGTCACATCAACAAACTGGAGTTATTTTTGTTGGAAGTTGCAATGTGAAATTTTCTGACCAAATAAGGATTCATCATGCAGCACGCCTCCCAAACAAGACCCAGAGTAAATTTGGGCTCTTCCCAATGCGCAGGCAAAGAAAGAAAGAATAACGAATGACGAAGAAAAGGGGGAAACCTTAGGTCGTTGTTTTGTCTGCAGGCACGACAAGCTCGACTTACATATGCTGATAACAAGTGTGGGATGCTAGAAAAAAAAGAAAGTGCAGGGAGATTTAATATTTATCTTCTTGCAAAGCAGTCATGTGTAACGCTGTTCCACAGGCAGACCCTGAGCTGTGGAGAAAATATCTTTGCAATAATTTCTGTCTCCTAGATATATATATAAATATATGTATTGCCCTTCTGTGGAGGAGTAACCTGTGATAATACAGAACCAGAGCTGGAAAGAAATGTTTAATACTTAAGGAGCTGCTCTTAAACTGAATGGTGTTGTGTTCTGGTTTTTCATTTTGCTGCATGACTGTGTATTTATCCCTTCTCCTTCAAAAGGATGGCCTTCTTTGTTGATGAATTCTTTATAAAATATACCACCATAAATGCCCATGATAAGTTTGCAGCAGGTCACTTATTCAGCAGTTGAAGGAAGTCTTCTTAGCCCCTATATCTGGAGTAAATGTTTCCTTTTTACTGGGATTACTGAGTATTTATAAAGCTTATGGTCAAGTCCACTGTGGGCACAAGCTCTTTACAGTAGAATTGGCCGTATCTTTACATGGTTCCTTTTTAAACATGTCAGAAGAGCTGCCTGGGGGAAAAAAAGCTGGTACTACAGAGGACACTGAAGCACGAGGATAAGACTCATTCATGCATATCAAAGCATGTTAAAACTTTTATCAGTGGGACACCAGAGCCCCTTGTGTCAGGTTCAACAGAGGGTTTGGGCAAGGAAAGCTTCATTAAATCACTGCTCTGATGCTTTGTTTTTTTGCTATTCTTCTTTGTTTTTGAAGATTGTGGCCACGGGTGGAGGTAGAGAAGTAGGTGGGGGAGAGAGAGCGAAGAACCAAGTGTAGCTGAGAACAAGAGGAAACAGTGATTTATGACGAGAGCCAGTTGAAAAGGCAGCAGCATTCGCAACTGGACATTTTATTCAGAAGAATTAGGAATTTTTATGAACTATACTTCATTTCAGTAAATCTGTGGTATTAAACTAGAGCATAACGGGCCCAATATCTCTGCACATTATCAACTCAATATGACATTCAGCCGCATATTACAGGTTTTTGAAAATGTTTAAATTTACAACATGCAAGTCTCTGTAATTACATGTTCTAAAATTGCATTTGGAAGCCTGGGCCCTGTCTTGGCATATCTACAAAGCTCTGCATAGGGGTGGGAAGAAGGAAAAGACATTAAGGCCTATGTTTTGTGTGCGGGTTTTGGAACTTTGTAGGCATGTGTTCCAAGCTAACTAACTAGCCCTCCATCATGGGCTACGGCCTTGTGCTGCTGTCCAAGTGTCCCGTCAAGGTTGAAACACATTTGAAGGTTTTGCTTTGACGCCTTGGGTGGCGTTGGTTACCCTTTTTCCCACACAGACCTGTGGTGGCTTAGCAAAGCCCAGCATGAAAGGCTCCGGTCCTGCTGTATTTCTGCCAAGTAAACACGTCCTGCTGTTTTGGCTGTTCTGACTTAGGTTTGTCATTAAAGTGCAAGACCAGCTCTTCTGTATGGGAGACGTCCAGCAGACAATCTCACTTCCCGAGACCTTGTACGTAATGCCTTGGTATAGCCTTGCTTTTGAAGGGACTGGAAAAGGGGAAAAATTGAGGCAGAGTGATATGCGGTGAAAATTGTGCCAGTCAGCTGGACATGAATGATGTTTTCTAAATCAGTAAAGGATCGTTGGAGATGAATCATGCTTTTCATGTTTGAAATTCTAAAAGATAAAAACCAATGCTCCGTTGTCTGGTGGCACACATCTCATCCCACCCACAGACATGACCGCTGTTGTTCCAGCCTCCTTCAAGCGCCTTCATTTGGCAGCTGAAGTGAATAACATTTTCTGGATAAAGACTCACACGCTTGGTGTTAACAGGTCACGACAGGATATGAGACGGATACATTGCCGTGCTGTGTAAAATGTTCTTTGGTTGTATTGTAGAGCAATCAGAGGTTGTCTATTACTTAGGTGTAAATTCAGAAAAGCTTGATTTTCTCTGGAGACAGCCAACCCACTTGCTGTCTAGTTTTATTTTCTTTTTCCAAAGAAGTTGTCAGCCCTCTGAGCTGGTTCGTCTGAGGTTGTTGATATGAGTTACCCAGCTTTTCTCTGGGAGAGAGAGCTGTGTTCATTACCCGGTGAATCACTCTCTCTCTCTCCTCTCTGAAATGCTGTGCTATGACTTAGTGGACTTTGAACGGCACTCTTCTGACATGTTCTGCTTGGTTTCCCCATCCAAACAAGTGGTGTAAAACAAACACACACACACACACACACACACACACTCAGGAAGTTTTTTATACCTTTGCCAGGAGAGAGAGAGAACTGGGGCAAAGATCACACTGTGATCACGAGCCATATGTATCTTATCTTGCTGCACAAACCTACTTCCTCCTAAACCTATGCGACCTTCTACGTGTAGCAGGTCATATAATTGCCCCAGTGTTGTCTGTTGACTTGTTACAGAACATTATCATCAGTGTATGTTGATCTGACACAGGAGATTTCTGCTTGGAGCACCTAAAGCCAGTTGAAAACTCCACCCTATAATAATGGCGCCTATCTGTACTCGTCACCAGACAGTTGCCTAGTTATACTGACAAGAGCCTGCCTTTTACAGGATATGGCTGTCTATGACTGATTGTGTTTGCCTTTTAATGCTAGCTTACATTCCAGTGGTTAAACTCAAATGGAGAAAGAAACTCCCAACTGAACTTTTACAGCGTACCGAACAATTTGAGCCCATCCTATTTCTTCACCTGAAGCCAGCGGCTCACTGTCATCAATTGAAAAGGAATGCCATGGGTAATGCTTTGGCGAGGTTTGATACCTTTGTGCATTTGTCATCCCGAGGTTGAATGAAAAGGTAAGGGAAAACCGCCGCTGGGAGTTGCAGCTGCGAAATCATCCACTTTTTCGAAGCGCTCATATCAACCATCCTTTCCTGTTAAAGAGAGAAAACACTTACACACACACACTAGTGTTATCAGTGGTTTACGAATCCCCCAATGACTATCAGAGGAAGTGAAATAGGAAATGGATACTTCCAACAACTACTTGATGTTTCCGGTGATTTAGGGTCTGAGCAATTGTTGCAGCTCTCAAAAGAGAGTCTGAGAAGAAAATGTGGAAATGAAAAATGGCCTTTTCCACTGTTGAAACTACAAAGAGTGGTCATGGTGGCTTAGTTGGCAGAGATTCAGTTTAACCTGTATTTCTGGAAAAGAAAGTCGACCTGGGGCCTTTGGGGCATGATATCTTTTTCAACACCGGGCATTTATTCTCTTTATTCCAAGTTTCTATCGAATCATGAGTGATTTTGATCAAATTGAAGAAAATTGTCAGGAATATCAAGAAAAACATTTTTCCCATAAGCGGAAGGAGACTTAAGTAAATATTTACCCAACACTTCACAGTAGAACTGATTCATTCAGTACAAAGTGAAACTGGAGAGATTAATGTGTGAAAGCCAAACCATTATGTTACCAGCCTCATGGCCCCAAAACATGGGGCCCAATAAGGTATTTTCATTCTGTGGAAAATGAAGCATGATAACCATGACAACACAGATCGGGTGACACCTTTTAATCAGCCTTTCGACTGGCCGTATATTGAAAGGCAGTGTTTACAGAAACTCTGGACAAGGCCATGTATTGACAGATCCCTCAGAACAGAGATGCATAGTC